GGGGAAGTTACAGTCCTTGAAAAACGAGGAAATCTGAGATGTACGGAAGTGGAATGCCTCATCCTGGGAGCAGATGCGGCGGAGGTGAAGGAATTGGGAATGGGGGATAGCATTTTTGCAGAAAGGTGGGTGGGAGGAGGAGTATTCTAGGTAGCTGTGGGAGTCGGTGGGCTTGAAATGAACATTCAATCTGTCTTTGATTTCCCACTTTCCACAGGAGGCCCGCATTATCCCCCCGCCTGCCATTTTACCCTGTAGTAACCATTTAATTCAAAATAAATTTCTATTAAATTAATTTACGAGTAACTGGATGGTCCTTAGTGTTGGATTCTCACTAAAAAAAAATACTATATAGATATATTATTCTGTAAACAATAGTCTCGGTACCACTCTAAATCTCAGTACTGTCTTACTGTACCATTAGCCTAAATCTCACTACTCTAAAATCTTACAATTATGACAAGGTCAGTGGAAATTGAAGGTAAGAAAAAAGAGTCACCTGACCACTACTTAGCTATCAGGAGGCCTTGTGTCCAAAATGTCACTTTTGAACTTGTGATGTCATGACATGCAGCTCCCATGATACTCCCTGTGTAATGAATCAAGGTGAGGCTGCTACTTGAAACTAGCAGTGCTAATGCCTGCACCAACTTCTCGTAGAATCCTCCTCGATCACTGCTCACCAGTAACCTCTGTTGGGCACTCTTCTTTCTGTTGAGCACCGGATCCTCCGAGATCTCTTTCTTATTTGTGGTCTCTGCATCAATTTCTCCCAGAAAACTCCCTAGTCGTTTCTCACCAGGTCCTCTTTTGGATGCTCCTCTTCCTGTTGAGTACCGGGTCCTCCAAAACCCCTTTCTCAGTCGTGGTCCCTGCGCTGACTTCTCCCAGAATCCTCCTCAGTCGCTTCTCACCAGTGTCCTCTCATTGTCAATGTTTCAAGTTCAATAATACTCTTCTTCAATTACTTAACAGAAAACTAATACTCTAAAGAAAGTTTAATCAATATTAATTTTAGTTTGTTGAATTAAAATCTTCAACCTTTAGGTAATGTCATTGAATTCCTTAAATTGATGTCTGGAAATTCAAATCTGTTTTTCAACGTTATCCATATCCACGGGTTCATAACATTTTAAATATGTGGCATTATTTTTTATTTTATGCATGCAGATTTTTTGGTTTTTACTGCTTTTCAAATTCTCAAAAGCAATTTTTCAGACTTGTATGATGCTACATCGAAGCTCTTGAGCTCTTCAGCTGTAAATCTCTTTCATGTCAAACAGAAGTTCAGGACAGTCACTGATATCAAAACATCTTTAGTTTTTACATTGCAGTACAATTATGTTAAAGCCATTGCTCCTGATATCTTCTCAACTCTGCAAAAGATGTGAGTCTGTGACCTTCAAAAATAGCAGACAGGGAAAGGAAGTGGGGCATAACCCACACAGGAGGGAAACACAAACTCAGAAGAGCTACTTGAATTTAATAAAAACCAAAAGAACTCCGGATGCTGTAAATTAGGAACAAAACAGAAGTTGCTGGAAAAGCTCAGCAGGTCTGGCAGAATCTGTGAAGAAAAATCAGAGTTAATGTTTCGGGTCTGGTGACCCTTCCTCAGAACTGAATTTGAATTTAATGTTGAGTTTGAACAAGCCCCATTTTGGCTATTGCAGAAACCTTAACCTGCAGTAAGGTTCAAAAATTGATGGAATTCATGGCCTTACCTATCCTGCAAGAGCATTTAAGCGTCACGATCTGAAGTTTTTGTTTGAAAGCACCACTTTTTAAACATGGAGAAAGATTGAATTTGAGAGTGAGAATTGAATATACTCCATTTTGGACGACTTTGACTGGCAGGCTATCTGGTTTAGGCTACAAAACAAAAATTAACATCTACTCATGCAGTTTCAATAGAGTCCTTTGATGATATTTCCCCAATAGCTGTTGTTATGTCATTATGTCATTATTAGTCAAACTTGAAAAGTTACAACTGTCTCAACAGGAGGTTTGAAGTTCATGGTTTTGATTGACAATTTAAGGATGCTGCTAAAGGAATAGGTATATTTAATGTATGGGCTGAAAAGGAGTGTTTTTTTTTATAAAAGTTTAGCCAATCAAGGTGATTTGAAAGCTTTGTATGGATTTCATGATGGAGTTTTCACCTTCTGCTGTATATGATTGAGACATTTATCACATCATTAGAAGCATATTTGTATCAAAACTACGTGATTCTTGAGGGGTGCTTATGGTGGTAACTGGGTGAATGGCTATGCAGGTGGCATAGAGCTGCATGGGGACATGATGGTGGGAAGCAAACATTGTTGGCATGAGAATTATGGGGGTCATGAAATGGGTACAATGCTTAAATTGGGAGTGAGGTGTTGATGGTGTGTGAAGGCTAGAAACCCTAACAACGTTGTAGTGATTGGAACGAAGGTGGGCAGGTGAATCTCATTGAGTACGAGTTCCCTGACTGGGGCTGTTAACTTGAGCCAATCAGGGAGTCCTGGCTGACAGGTATAAACAGGAGTATCAGGGATTCTCCTCAATCTAGGGACTGGCTCTGAGCCAGCTGGTCAGAGTCCATGTACTGTATGCATTAAATAAAGAGTGACTTGGTGATGGGATACCAGCTTCCGTGGAGTTGTCTCAAACTTCTAAAACAGCTGGAATGAAGTCTCAATACTAAGGTAGGTCTTCTAACCAGTTTGCCTCGCCTGCTCCCCCGAGGCCAGCTAATATCTGTTTCCAGGGTAGACACGCACTCCTGGATTGAAAATTCCACATAACAGGGAACGTTTTACAGTGGCTGGTCCATGATTCATGACATTTCTGACACAAGCTATTTGCTCCAGTAGCAAAAATCTGCTTCCTGTGCCTTCCTCAGCCAACAAAAACAGCAGCATGAACTGGTTTGATTCACTAAAACTGGTGCTTAGAAGATTCAATATAAATTAGAGAATCCAGCAAATTTATCTTGGCTTCTCCTAGTTCCAGAAAACCTACATGTCATGAACCAGTAGCTGCAAATAATGCACTTTATTTAATATAGCAGCTCAAATCACAAGGCACTCCACCTAGTGGCATGGCCAGGAACTGGTAAACTGACCATTGCAACCAGTCTGTTTGAATGCTAAATCCAGACACAAAGACAGGTCCTCTGTCTGAGCATCCACCAAGCTTGCTTCATCACAGATGAGATATTCTTTCCTGTAGGACAGGGAAGGCTGAGAGCTGACCTGAAATTTATGCAGCAATTTAATATTGAAGACGTCGTGAAGTTGTTACTACCTGGGGAAAGTGCAAAATTCAAAGCCATAAAGAAAAGCTAATCAATAAGCAATTTGTGGAAATTCATATGCTCAGAAAGTTGTTAGCTTTCTATCACTTTGAGTATTTGAGAAAAGTAGTTCAGAGGCATTTACGGGTAAGCTGGAGAGGTACTGAGAGAGTAATGAATGGAGAGACTTGTTGATAGTTCAGATTAACTAAAGAATAAGAGGCTCATGGAAAGAATAACTGCTACTGTGAACCTGTTGAGCCAAATGGCCTGTTTCTGTGATATAAATGTCTATGTAAATATAATATGTATCTCTTGATTAATTTTTGATTGGGATATTGTCTCACAAGTGAGAAATAGCCAACTGAAATTTATTATACATTTAGAAACTCACCCTGCCTTTAATAGACTGAATTACTTTTCTATCCCTTATAGAAAAGATCTGATCACTACTAGAGTGTTCTCCCACCGTAGTACAGCTGAGATTGCCATTCAATGGTGTGGATGTTTAAAATGCACTATTTAAAACCAGTGCTAAGGTGATCACACAATGGCCTGCAAACCAGGGAACACATGAGAGGTGACAATCAGTTTTCTAAAGCCAAAATTGCTTATGTTTTATTTGCATTGATCTTGCTAATGTACTGAACCATTGAATCATAGAGAATAGAGAGATGCCATTTGGCCTATTGTCTCTGTTCGAAAGAACTATCTAATGACTGGTTTCTCCCGTTTGAATATTAGGAAGCTAGTGATTTTGAAAGAGATATTTGTAGCATTGTTACTACTGGTGGATTACTCCATATTTAGAGATAAAAGATTGCTTAGTAACCACAGCTTGCAGTATGTGCAAAGGAATGGGAACATTCATTTCAACAGTATACGTGGCCCCCCTTGCTTCACGGTACGCACCTAAGCAGCTAGCAAACACAAAAAGCTTGGAAATGTCTGTATGTGTAATCTATCGGTGTTCCCTGGCAATACTTCTACAGAGCCTTGTGTATTAGCCTGTGGGTTTAAATCTTTGGGTTCATTTCACCAAATTTTATGATCCACAACATGAAATCCCAAGAAAAACTGAATTCTCGTACTGAGCTGCTAATGATTTACTAGACATGGCAAACATTCAAAAACAGGGGGACAAATTAGACTGAATTGTACTCAGGAGATGAAAGAAGTGAAAAAAGAACTAGTGGAAAAATAATTACAGCAAGCTGGAATCCGTTTATGAATTTAGCAGATGTCCATATTTGGCAAGTCTTAGTAACTTTCATTTATTATTTAAGATTTTGTTAAATATCAATCCTTTGAAGATTGAATTTTTCTTTTGATAAAACATAATTCTAAATAAATTCATTTTGGAACAGTATAAATAGCAACATAAAGGTTGTGCAGAAAAAATGTATCTACAAAGAATCTAGTAAAGACCAGATTCTAAACAAATTAGTGTTTCTGGTCAGCCTACTGCACAGGGATTTTGAAGGAAAGTATAATTTTAAGGGAATTTCAAAATTCCGCCTTTCATCTTTGGTCCAAATTGATCAATAAATAATTTATCTGTAAAGACTACCAAGGTAGGGAAGAAGGCGAGGGAACAGGTGGAGGTGGGGGTGTAGTGGGGTCACTGTTCAAATTGGCAAACTGCTGAGACATTCACGGAGAATCAGAAAGTAATCTTTCTTAAATCAGGACTGACCCACAATCTTCTGTAGCTATTTACCTTTCGTACAGTGTCATGTGATCTAGGTTTGTAGAGTTCACCATCTGTCTGCAAAAATGGAGTGTCAAAGCCATACCATGCACTTCCTGTCTGTTTCATCACCGAATCCACAAGTGATAACTGAGGATCTGGGATCTTAGCATCAGGTGCATCTGTAAGGAGATACAAGAAAAGATGCAAGACATTTTAATGCTCATGTTAACACACTTATACATGCCAACTATCAAAAGCTGCTTTTGTACAATGTGAAAATCCCATGTTAATATTGCACGGTTCTTCATGAATGCAGTCAGTAGTAATCTGAAAATAAAACTGCTCAAATCATTCACTCAGTTGAAAGTATTTCACTCTGTTATTGGTAACATTTGGGCAGCAATCAAGAGCCAATGGTGGTGCCGAGCATAGCAGTATTTAAGAGCAACTATACAAAACAAAATAAACTTGTTTGGAAGTTGGTGCACTTTGATACAAAGTTAAATGGTACTGCATGAACAGGATGACCCTGGTTACACAGTAGCTCCCAATTAATGCAGCCTGAAGTGCTTTGTGAGTTTTGTAAAGACACTAATAGAGGATTGGCTGACTGGCTGAAGACAGAGTGGGGATAAAAGGGATATTTTTCAGGAGGGCAACTGGAGACTAGAGGAGTTCAACAGAGATCAGTCTTGAGATCACAACTATTCATGTTATACATTAACGATCTTGAAGAAGGTACGGAGGGCATTGTTGCTAACTTTGAAGTTGACAAAAAAATAGTTGGAGAGACATGTAGAGTTGAGGAAGGAGGGAGGCTGTAGAAGGACTTGGATAGACTAGGAGAGTGGGCAAAGAAGTGGCAGATGGAATACAATATGTGAGGTTATATATTTTGGTAGGAAGAATACACACAGACTACTTTCTTTATGGGGAAAGGCTTCAGAAATCTGAAGCACAAAGGGACTTGGGAGTCCCAGTTCAGGATTCTCTTAAAGTTAGCATGCAGGTTCAGTTGGTAGCTAGGAAGGCAAACGCAATGTTAGCATTTAGCATTTCAAGACAGCTAGAAAACAACAGCAGAGGTGCACTTACTGAGGCTGTATAAGGCTCTGGTCAGATGGCTTTTGCAATATTGTGAGCAGTTTGGACCTTGTATCCAAGGATGGATGTGCTGGCACTGGAGAAGGTCTAAAAGAAGTTTACAAGAATGATCCAGGAGATAAAGGGTTTGTCATATGAGGAGCTGTTGAGGACTCTGGGTCTATACTCGATGGAGTTTAGAAGGATGAGGGGGGAATCTGATTGAAACTTACAAAATACTGACAGGCCTGGATAGAGTGGACGTGGAGATGATGTTTCCACTAGTAGGAGAGACTAGAACCCAAGGGCACAGCCTCAGAGAGAAGGGGTGACCCTTTAGAACTGAGGAATTGCTTCAGCCAGAGGGCGGTGAAACTGTGGAACTCATTGCCACAGCGTCCTGTGGCAGCCAAGACATTGACTGTATTTAAGACAGAGATTGATAGGTTCTTGATTAGTAAGAGGATCAAAAGTTATGGGAAGAAGGCAGGAGAATGAGGTTGAGAAGCACAGCAGCTATGATCAAATGGTAAAGCAGACTTGATGGGCCAAATTGCCTAATTCTGCTCCTACATCTTATGGTCTTATGGTCTCATTTCTGAAACAATCTGTTGTAACACAGCTTTTGAAGTTTTATATTTACCAACTCAACCAAAAGGCTGCACTTCCTTTCAATTAACTAATTTATCTGTATAAACATAACTCACTGTTTGCACAGAAACCACAGGTTTGCCAGCAAGTTTAGGATAAATGGATGTTCTTGTTACAATCAGGTCTAAACAAAGGAGTGGTCAAGGCAAAGAAAATAATTCTCAAAAAGAAAACAACATACTTGTCATAATACATCATGTCTGGCTGACTTGATGGAAAGGTGGCTAAGGAGAGTGGAGACAGGAAATGTTGAGACTTAGATTGTTTCACTAAAGCTGCCAGGTGTATTGGCTATTAACATGTGCATTGAAACAATCTGACACACAAACATTTCCTGTGTGGTTTTATGTTCTAATTTAGAAACCTCCCTTATTTAATAAAAGAATCAAAAGTACTGATGCCCTTGAAACTATCATGACATCTGTAAGTATGGCATTCAACTATTTAGTAAGTGGTGCAGCATATTTATAGTAGTAGTCAACTGGCCATTCTTACACATGGGCCGTCAACATCACTGTATGGTGTGCAAAACTCTGTTACCACCACTGGTTTCTTCCATCAGGCAGAAGATACAGAAACCTGAACACACGCACCAGTAGGTTCAGGAACAGCTACTTCCCGGCCATTATCAGACTGATGAATGGACTCTCTAGTCTCAAATAATGCTGATCCTGCTAATGTTGATCGCAACTAGTGCACGCCCTGTGCAACGTCACCTGTATGCCTCTATCTAAGTCTTTTTACAACCTCTGATCAGTGCACCCTTGCTTATTATGATCTACCTGTACCGCTTGTAAACAAAGTACTTCGGTACATGTGATAATAAATCAATCAATGACTGCATCGCAAAAGTCACCACAGCACAAAGAAGGACTTTTAACTGGATGAATGAATTGACTAGGTTTATTTTCAAGTTGATGTTGGCTGTGCATTACCTATACATCAGGAGTTTTGCAGTATTTATGTGGATTTTTCACATTGCACAAAAGCAGGATTAAAGATTAAGAGATAACTGGACCAAAGCAAGTAGATGCGATTCACGACCAATTTTCATAAATTGTGCAGTTAGTTTTATATATCTGTTGCTGTTTCTATCTACAAGAATAATGTTGACAGTCTTGTTTAAAGTTGCCACATGTAATTACAGCTGGAACACCTTCAGACATAGGCTCTGCAGCACCAGACATAACCATTGGTGGCACCAGACTCAAGGTTGCAGAAAAATTCTCTGACCTGAAAGCGTGCTTCCAGGGGTGCTATTCGAAACCTCTCGCTATGAAGGCCAACATACGATTTGCCTTCTTAACTGCTGGCTGTACTGGCATTGTTACTTTTAGCGACTGATATACAAGGATACTGCAAGTCTCATTGAACTTCCCCTTTTCACAATCTATCCCCATTCAGATAACAAATGCCCTTTCTGTTTTTGCTACCAAAGTGGATAACCTCACATTTATCCACATTATCTTCAATTATTTGCCCAGTTACTTTACTTGTCCAAATCACACTGAAGCCTGTCTGCAGTCTCCTCACCGTCCCAACCAGCATTGCATCATCTGCAAGCTTAGGGATAGGATATGTAGTTTCTTTACCTAATATAGTTTGTGAATAGCTGGGGTCCAAGCACTATTCCCTGTGGTACTCCACTGAGTCCTGAAGAGGGTTACGTCTGAAGCTGGTTGGGACAGTGAGGAGAATGCAGACAGGCTTCAGTGTGATTTGGACAAGTAACGTAACTGGGCAAATACTTGAAGATAATGTGGATAAATGTGAGGTTATCCACTTTGCTCCTTTCCTCCAGATGCTGCCTAGCTTGCTGTGTTCTTCTAGCCCCCTCAGACAAGGACCCATTTTTTCCTACCCTTTGTTCCTCCCAATAATCAGTTTCTATCCATTTCAGTACTCCAATTCCAAGCACTTTAATTATGCATGCTGATGTTTTACATGGAACATTTTTGAAAACCTTCTGAAAATCCAAGTAAACCACATACACTGGCTCCCCCTTATCCTCTCAACCAGTTACATCCTCAAAAGATTTCAACAGGTTTATCAAGCACGACCTCCCCTTTGTAAATCCATGCCGAGTCTGTCTGATTCCGTCACTACCTTTCCAGTTTAGATCTAAATAAATGTATAAATGGTGAAGGTTGACAGGAAGTAAAGACTCAAGATATTTAATTTACTACCAGTAAACATCTTGTTGCTTCTATTTTAAAGCAACTGATATAACTAAGCAATTGATAAAACAATATTAAGATAATTTTCACAAATTTGCCAATGTTTATGGATCAAATTGTGCAAGTCTGAGAGAATAATCTATATTTTACAATTTGAGAATACATCATAAAATGACCTGCAAGATCGAACCAGTAGAAAGAAATTCTGGTATTCAATGAGGGCCAGGAACAAGGAATGGCATTACTCAGTTTGGTATGATCTATGAAGAATATAATATGCATATTGCTGTATGAATCAATACTAATAATTAGCAAATGGTATTAATAGCCCACTGTAAATGAAGAAAGATAGTATTTCATAGAATCCCTACAGTGTGGAAACAGAACATTTAGCCCAACAAATCCACACTGACTCTCTGAAGAGCATAACAGCCAGACTCAGCACTCCTACCCTATCCCTGCATTTCCCATGGCTAATCCACCTAGCCTACACATTCCTGGACACTATGGACAATTTAGCATGGCCTATCCACCTAAGCTGCACATCCTTGGACTGTGGGAGGAAACTGGAGCACCCAGAATAAACCCACACAGACACAGGGAGAATGTGCAAATTCCACACAGACAGTCACCCGAGGCTGGAATTGAATCCAGGTCCCTGGTGCTGTGCGGCAGCAGTGCTAACCACTTAGAAACCATGCCACCCATAGTCCTAAAACAAAAAATATATTACTAATGGCCATATTATCTTACGGTAGTATTTTAAAATATTTTAATTTAATACTTTCATTAGATTGCTTTATCTTTGCAATGTTTATTTTAATTATTACTACATCTTATTTTTCCTAATTCATTAAATTCATTGTTGATAAGTAAACAAAAAATATGCAGAAACACACATCCTGAAAATCAGAGAGTTTTCTTTAAAAGCTACTCCAATTATCCATACAATAATATGGTTGAAGTTTCTTTTAAATAGTCTGACAATTCTGTAACTCTCCATTTAATGCATTACTCCCCTTACATAACTTAGCTCCCACTTACACATAGATGGTTGTGAAGCTCCCAAACTAAAGCTCCCAAACATTTCTAGTTTTTGTGGCATCACTGCTTCTTCCAAACTTTCCCGCGACTGTTCAGCAAAATTGCATGGTTGAGATGTTAGTAGTCTATGCAGACTTTCAGCTGTAGAACAAGGAGAAAATGAAACAAATTGCAATAATAATTAAACAGTAATTCATCAAATGTTTTATTTCATAATTGGAATTATTATAAAGTCTGATATTAAATGACAAATAAATACAATCTAGGAGGAAGAATATATTCCTACCCTCTCTGACTGCAGCAGTCAATAAAAATCCAGCTTGTGGAAATTCAACGGTATCTGGTTTGATCAAAAGCTGCGTTTCCTGACCTGCTTCTTCATAGCCATTTCTTTCAGCCATTTCTGCATAGATTTGCAGCTTCTCCTCTAAACTACTGCAAACTAGCTGATCCTGGAATCTCAGTCGCTCTGTATAGAAAGATAAACAATCACTGTGCAACTTTCTACAGTTGAACATGTGAAGACGTGTTTCACCACAATGCAGAGAAAAATAATAGTTTAATATTCCTTCTAAAAGCAATATAAAAAACACTGATCAACTCTGTATATAAAAAACAAAGAAAATAAGATTGAATACTATGCAGACTTTCTTCAGAGTACTCCTGTGCAATAATGGCCATTATAAATGGTTCTAAATAGGAGATCAAATACATTTATTCAAGGGAATACTGTAGAGAGTTGTAAAAGTCTGATAAATTCTCTTACTAGGCTTTTCCTGAAATCTTATTTTTTCATTATTTGAATCTGATATTTCCATTATTAACAGAATTTGAACCATTAGACCAAAAATGGTGATTTATCACTAATATTTATGTTAGACTGTTTCATATTTCAGCATTTTTCTATTGATTTTGTATATAAATACCACACAAACTTGGAACTTAACATTTAGGGATATTTAAACTTTCCAAAAGACAAGAATGATGGAAAAGGTGATGGGGTAGCATGTTAAAAAGAAATTAAATGAGAACAGTTGTGAGAGATGATCTAGGCTCATGGTAAATGTAGAATTCATTTGGGTACAGGTGAAAAACAACAAAGGAAAGAAGACGTTAGTAGGAGTAGAGTATTGAACCCCAAACAGTAGCCATGTAGGAAAGGCTATAATTCAACAAATAATAGGAGCATGCAAAAAGAATGGAACAATAATTATAGGTGATTTTAATCTTTATATTGATTGGTTTAATCAAATTGGAAGGTATAGCTTCTTAGACCAATATCGTCTTAAGTTGTTCTACAACAATATTAGGCAGCAACTGGAGAATGTTGGTTGGAGGAAGCTGTTTAAGGGTAAATCTACATCGGACATGTGGGAGTATTTCAAACAGTAGTTGATAAGAGTTCAGGAGCAGCATGTTCCTGCAAGAATGAAGGATAGTTATGGCAAGTTACATGAACCTTGAATGACCAAGGATCTTATGACATTGGTCAGAAAGAAAAGGAAGCATATGTAAGGTCCAAGAGGATGGGAACTGAGGAAGCCCTTTAAAGTATACAAGGGAAGTATGAAAGAACTTAAAAAAAGGAATTAGAAGGGCTAAAAAGGGTCATGAAAAGTCATTAGCAACAGGATTAAGGAGAATCCCAAGGCTTTTTATACATACATAAAATGCAAAAGGGCAGCTAGAGAAAGGGTTGGCCCACTCAAGGACAAAGGAGGGAATCTATGTGTGGAGCCAGAAGACGTATGTGAGGTTCTAAACAAATACATTGTGCCGGTATTTACCAAAGAGAAGGAATTGGTGGAGGATTATCTCAGGGAAGGGAGTGTTGAGTTTCTAAGCCAAGTTGCTATTAAAAAGGAAGAGGTGTTGTGCGTCTGAAAAAGTATTTAAGGTCCCCAGGTCCTGATGGAATCTATCCCACAATATTGAGGTAGGCAAGAGAACAATATGCTGGAGCATTGACAGACATCTTTGTATCCTCTTTCACCACAGGTGAGGTCCTAGAGGACTGGAAAATAGCCAATGGTGTTCCACTGTTTAAGAAGGGTAGCAGGGATAATCTGGAAATTACAGCCCTGAGAGTCTTGCGTTGGTGGTAGGGAAGTTATTGGAAAAGATTCTCAGGGACAAGATCTATACACATTTAGAAGCAAATGGACTTGTTAGTGATAGCAAGAAAGTCAACGTTTTGGGTTTTTGTCAGGACTGATGTAAACACGAAATGTTGACTTTTCTGCTCCTCTGATGTTGCCTGACCTACTGGGTTCCTCCAGCTCCACAAAGCATTAACACAACCACTCTAAATGAAACATGATCTGCTGAGGGGTCTGAGCTTGAGCACCTTGATGCTGACCACATGTTCTTCAGGATTAACAACGGCCAGCCCAACAGTCAAGAGTGGACTTTGCTATTTGATTTCAACTGGTGCAGAAGGTTGACTCATTTCCTGTGGGGCTAAACAATTGGCACATGGTTTTTGGTTTAAGTAGTAACTTACTAGTGCCTATGCTTCAACTATGCAGGACAAATGAGCAAAACACAACATCAATGCCGCCATCCAGTCCTCTAACATTGCAAAAGTTTCAGAATAAAGCCAATCAGCTATGTAAGTTGAGGCTTGGTCTAAAGTCACATGATATGATATGAGCCTAGATGGTAAAATCAGTCTTTACTTTATGCTAAACTCCCAATCATTGAAGCAACAGGAAAAATTAATGCTATTTGAATTAATTAAGTTGCTGTTTCAGAGACCTACAATGAGCTTTTCTCCTTATTCAGGAGTAAGTTTAATTTCAGTGTTTGACATCCTTCTGGCCAAATTCAGCTATTGTGAATCAGATAAATCTGTTTTTTTGGTGCGTGCATGTCTATAGACATTGCTTCCTGTTTTGGAAAATTGCAAAGCGTTTTCCTGAAACAGCACTTAACGTGTTTATTTAAGATAATGCGAACAATGAACAATCTCTTTCGTATGCACGTACCTTGGAATTTCTGGGTCCTGGCTGCCCTTGCCTCAGCAATACGCTTGTCCTCTTCATATTCACTTAAACGTTCTTCCTCCTCCTCAGGACAGCTTTAACGACAATAATAAACAATACAAAAGACCTGTTAAAAATTATGTTGCAGTGGGGAATGGGGGCAGTGGCATTGTACTGGTGTCACTGGTTAGTAATCCAGTGACTTAAAGATAAGTATAATTGTAGCAGCCTCCTGGTTGCTAAAGCACAGATTGCTGACTTGGCCAAACAGCAAGGGATGCTGGGTACATTGGTCAAGTGAAACTCTGAAATCACAAAACCCATACACCAGGCACAGTGCAAACACAGCAGTCAGGTGCTAATGACATTAGCATAACGTAAAAGGCAACAGTTATTCTGGACAGACATATCCCAAGAACTTATCCAGTAAGCAAAGGAGAGCCCAGACAGAAAGGCACCAGGTCCTGCTACATAAAGAAACTAACAGTAACATGTCATTTAAATGATTGACTCTTGTTTCGAACTATTAAGTGTATCTCCCTGAATGGCCAGAAGTATAGAAAGTTCCAGAAAATTTCTAAAGAAGGGTCCTGACCCGAAACGTCAACTTTCCTGCTCCCCTGACGCTGCTTGGCCTGCTGTGTTTCTCCTGCTCCATTCGGTGTTGTCTTTGACTCCGGCATCTGCAATTCTTACTATCTCTAAAAGGTACAAAAACATGGGTTCACCTGCAGACCTCTCTTGGAACAGCTCTCGGAATCTCTGCAATCGTCCGGGGCCTTCCGAGGAGACAGCATGGCAAGAGGCAGAGACGAGCTGGCCATCCAGAGAGACAGAGGAAGAAAGCAGCTTTGCTGACCCAGAGACAGCCACAGACAGAGCAATTGTGTAAATTTACAAGAGACTCGGGAAGTATTGTAACCTTAAGGGGACAAATAGGATTAGGAAAAGTTTGTTTAATATTAAAGATTATTGTCAATTTGTTCCTAATAAAATGGGAATGTTTTGCTTTGGTACCGGCTTGTGTTCATATTGATTTGACGTTTTAGTATTTGGAACACCTGGGCAAATTCATTCATAACATTCTGGTCGGAGTTGTCTGTAACTTATTTAAAGAGGAATTAGACAACATAATGGTGACTGTGAAACAATTGCCAATTGTGGCAAAAACCCATCCGATTCACTTACATCATTTAAAAATGGAAAATCTGCCATACTCACCTGATTTGATCTTCATCAGAGGGAAAATACTCCATTGGTTGGAGTCAAACCTTGCATAAAGGAAGATAATTGGACGGTTGTGGTTGGAAGCCCATTATCTCAGTCACAGGACATCACTGCAGGTGTTCCTCAAGATAGTGTCCTATGTTCAATTATCTTCAGTTGCTTCAGCTTTCCCTCCATCACAAGTTTGGAAATGGATATATGTTTGCTGTTGATTGCAAAATGTTCAACACCATTCACAGCTGCTCAGACAGTGAAGCAGTCTGAGTCCATATGGGGTAAAATCTGCATAGAATTCAGGCTTGAGTTGATAAGTGGCAAGCAAACTTTGTGCCACACAAGTGCCAAGCAATGACCATTTCCAACAAGATAGAATACAATCGTTGCCTATTGACATCCAATGACATTGCCATCACTGAATTCTGCACTATCAATATCCTAGAGGTTATCATTTACCAGAACTGACTGGACTAGATATCTAATATTTACAAAAGTAGGTCAGAAGCTGGGAATTCAGCAGCAAGTAACACTCTTTCTGACTCTTCGAAGGCTCTCTACCATCTGCAAGGTGCAAGTCAGGAGTGTAACGGGATACTCTCTACTTGTATGCTCAACACCATCCAGGACAATGCAGCCTGTTTGACTGGAATTCTGTCTAATACATTCAACATTGAGTCTCTCTGGTTTGACAATTTTTCATTCAGTAGGGTATTATCACCTGATTGGGAATACATATATTACTGTCACAGGCCCTTCTGTGTCTGGGCTAAGCCATCCCTTTACAAATCATAGCATGCTTTCATTGGCATGTTATGCCTCAAGTGCCCCTAGTTCAGCTCACAAAATATGATAGTGATGATATCATGAAAACATATACTGTATATTAGCACTGGCAGCATGGTACGGCATGTGCAAGATGCACTGCAACATCTCACCAAGGCTCCTTCAAAAGCACCCTCCAAACTTATGATCTCTACCGTCTATAAGAACAATGGCAGCAGGTGTATGAGAGAAGCACCACCTTCATGTTCCCCTCCAAGCCCCAGACCTTCCTGGCCTTAGGCTATATCACCATTCCTCCTTTGTCACTGGGTCAAGATCACAGAGCTCCCTTCCAGACATCACTGTCAGTGTACCTACGTTACAAGGACAGCAGCAGTTCAGGAAGGCAGCTTAGCACCATCTTCTCGAGGGCAATTCAGAATGCATACTAAATTACTGGCCTAACTAGCAACCAACATTCCGTCTAAGCTGTGCAGCAGGTTCTGCACACACTAATCGTTATGTTAACACCGTCCCAGCACTAACTTCCAGTTTTGGAAAAGCAATTGTGCACAAACATCAGAAGCCTGTAAGCAAAGAAAAGTATGTAGTGGAAACATTACTAATGTTGCCCCCAAATGAATAGAAAAAAAAAATTCAACTTTTAGTTACAAATCACAAGTAGACAGCTAAGTATCATAACATGTTTCTCAAAATACATGATTACTATATTGGGTTGGGCCATTGGAGATGCATTGAAATGTTGTCTAAAATTGACTTGAATCTTATCATCTGCAGGTTATGTCCAAATATTTTCTTTTAAAATCTTATGGTCCGTTAAATATGTTACATGAGAAATATAGTGGTTCAGTGGTAGTATTCTACATCTGGACCCCAGAATCTCCAGTTTTGAGTCCCTACTAGAATTTATTTGTCACAGAAGGAACATTCATGATATACTTCAATGAGCTGATAATTAGTCAGGGAATCTTTTTTCCCAAAAATCAGGGGAAAAGTGTGTTTGTGTGATCATATTCTAAAAACACGGTTTATCTAACAAATCTTTACTGTTAAAAACCTAAAGAACTGTGGATGCTGCAAATCAGGAACAAAAGCAGAAGTTGCTGGAAAAGCTCAGCAGATCTGGCAGTATCTGTGAAGAAAAAAAGAAATCAGAGTTAACGTTTCGGTTCCTGTGACCCTTCCTCAGAACTCCAGCAACTTCTGTTTTTGTTCCAAATCTTTACTGTTGCTGGTATTAGCAAATCAGAACTCAAAATTTCAGATACTGTCCAAAAATGAAAATAGTACCCAAATATTTGATGTTCCTGCATTTATTGATATTAGTTTGCTAAGGCCCAATGCATACACTTTTCAGCTGGGCATCAGCTGAACCAAAAGAACATCATATTGTACATTATATGTCAGTATACCAGACAGTTCATTTATCTTTGATTATTGGCAGAGCACTTTCCTGTTTCCCGGCAGGCTCGTTGTCACGAGTGCTTTTCCTGTTCGCCACTGAGGAATAATCATAACCTAACTTTCCCATTTAATGGATTAATTGTTGAGCACAACATCACAATGGCTTGAAATGTACAAAAACAAAACACTATAAAAGAGCAAAAATGATATTTACCCAATTAAGTCCATTCCAACACTGTGGACTCTATAAAATTTATTAAATTTTGAGGAGGTAATTACCTGAATGTAAAAATTCTCACACTAACCTGTAATTTTCTTTCCCAATCCATGCAAAGGACTGAATGCTGTATGAATGAAGTTATTTCTTCTTTCTATGAGCCAAGCTGACACAGTTCTCATACAACGTGCATTTACCAGCAGGTGTCACCAGATAGTTCTCAAGAGCATGAATATTGGATTAGCACCACATTAGGGCTGACCTCCCCAATAGTATTATCTCTTTGTAGACTGCAACGGAAGTCTGACTGTTTCCAGTCTTGGGGGAAGGTATGCATGTTGAGGTGGAATGTTGGATTTTGTGTCTGTAAGAGGGGTGGTGGGATTAGGTTCTCTCATGCAATTACATTCTTCTCAGCTTATTACATCTGTATGCACAGGTAAAACATCAAAATGTTATGGGCAGGGAGGCTGGAGGTTCTGCCCCCTGCAGGGACCTTCTGGTCTCCAACAGGACAGCACTCCACTCTGTGCAACCCAGCAACATCACTCAACCCCTGTTCATAACCCCAATCACCCCTGGAGATTGCTGAGACTGCACAAATAATGTGCCATGCTTTAGCGACACCTCCATGAGGTTCTCCTGAAGGTTGTCCTGGAAACAGAGGAAGTTCTTTTCCTTAGGCATCGCAAAAGAGGCCATCCAAACTGATAACAGCTGAACAGAGATGGCTGCAGGAAGCTAAAGTCCATAGGTGGCATGTACACCTTTCTACTCAATGTTTCTTGTCCTTGTGAGTGTAAGATAGCACTGTACAGTTGCCATTACACAGGACTGTTACACAAGACAGGATGCCAGACATTTCCAACAATGTCATAGAGTCATACAGAACAGAAACAGATCCTTCGGTCCAACTCGTCCATGCCGAGCAAGTTTCCCAAACTAAACTGGTTCCACTTTCCTGCATTTGCCCCATATCCCTCTAAACCTTTCCCATTCACGTACCTGACCAAATGTCTTTTAAATATTGTAACTGTACCTGTATCTGTCACTTCCTCTTGCAGCTCATTCCACATACAAACCACCCTCTTACCTGGTCTTGGTAACGTGCGACTCCAGACCCACGGCAATGTGGTTGATTATTACTATCCTCTGAAGTGGCAAAGCAACCTCTATAATGCCATCAAACCAGACAGAGCACCATAAATGACATTGTCAAAGTCAGTCCTTTCAACCCTGTACCAAAATTGGGACAGAGGTCTCACAGACAACAGCCTGATACACAGAATCATACCTGATAGAGAACACCATCATCATTCTAGCTCTGTCCTATCTCACCAACAGAGCAGACTCAGTGGAGGGGGGAATACAGTTGGGAACAAGTTGCCCTGAGAGCCCGTAACAGTGATTCAGGACCTAGCTCAAACAGGGTCAAGAAAACCTTCTGCTAAATATTACATACCACCA